TTCAAAAGCCTTATCACAAGCGATGATTGAGGTTTCTAAACGTTAAAACACAACGTTGGGATTGTAGTTCACGAGGCAGTCGTGGGAGAAGCTGGCAGAGAACTGTAGGGAGAAGGCAGAATGCCACCTAGAGTTTGAGAGCTAGGCCTTCACCCCCTAAATCACAGTTGTTTTCAATCCAGTGAATTCAGGTAGTGCATTGAAATGTAATGCCTTAATTGATAAATGCCTATTGTTTATGGGGATGTTATAAATTAATTAAAATTTCAATTAACTTCTTGAATTTACTGAATTAAACTAAATTGACCCCTGCCCTCCTACACTATTCTAGGTGACAAATCCATTGGAGGCAGCTGTTGGGAGATCAATAACAGTAGACCCAATTCAGCTTCCATAGCCTATAGAAAATGTCCTCCAATAAACTTACGAGCATGCCAGCCATCTCGCTACTCACAAAACAATATTCAATACATACACAACACAATTTGCACTCTTATGAAATAACACGTCAGTGCTTGCCTATGTAGCCTATTCGACGTGAGCACAACAGTAGGACGCCTAGGACAGCCATGTTTGATTAAACAAATAGTCCTAGAGATTATCAAATGTTACTTTGATATGAAAAACGTAGCCAGCCAGAATAAAAGCAAATAGGAGTCATCGACAGTCGTCAGAGGATATGTGTAGGTGTAGCGACTAAACTGTCAGGGAAATAAAGCAATAATGTTGTGATCACATTACCAACTGAGCAAATGGAACATGGAAGGTAACAAAGGAAACGCTACATTTTCAACAAAGATCGTTTTTTTTTCTCCTGTTAATGCTATACAAGTCAGTCGTCGTGCTTAATCGATGATCCCAAGTGAAAACAACAATGCCGACAAAAAAAAAAATACATTAAGGCCTTAAACAGTTAACGTGGACACAATGTTGCAACAACAGTAGCAACTCACCGTCGCAGACGCCAGGCTGCTGTCTGTCAAGGTGAGGTGGTGCGGTTCCCATCTCCGTAAGAATTTTGAGGTTAGAATTTTGCTGAGGAAGGTCCGAGGGTGTTTGACCACACACACTTGGATATCACCCTCCTGTAGTAGTTTATATCGCATCCCGCTGCTGCAATGGAGCAGGGTTCTCTTGCACGACCCGGCGCTTAACTTATTATTATTCCCCTCCGGCGGCAACGGCGCAGACATCTCTCCAAGCAAAGGCTTGCTCTCCTCAGATTGATAGAATTGGTTATTATGTAGCTCGTTTCCCCCACCGCTGCTGTTAAAATCCATATTTATCAGGTCGCAAAAATGATCCTAGAGGTAACAATGTATTATACTTTTAATAGTTTTTGGATTGTAAGGCTTGGGAGCAAAGCTAAAGCGATGCGACCTCAATTGTTAAAATAGTGTTGCGGGCACAAAACAGACACGGCGGAGACACGGACAGAAAAGCCATGAAAGTGTCTTTGGTGGGGGTATTTCAGGACGGAGCAGTTATTGGGTAGGCAAATAATCCTTTATCCGTACAATGCCCACTACAATGTCTAGCCTGTCCGCGTTTCGCTCCCCCAAAGATCTATTCAATATGTTCGGGCCATATCCATTGCCAGCCCCAGTTCAGATAACATAATCCACAGATTTAACTCATACAAATCACGTAGCTTTGATACAAAAGACCCAAATCCAAAGGCGACGTGTTTCTTCTGTCTTTAAATGTTCATTGGCAAGGTTCCTTTTTCTGTCTTCCTCTATCTTTGCAAAAGCACTTCGATAGAGCCACTTGGATTGGTCCCTTCTCGTTCATGTGATACCAAAGTGACGTCAATGGGGAGGCAAGCGGATGCGCTGTGCGTCTTTTAGCTCCACTGTCTGCTGCCTATGCGATAGGAGGGCAGTTTCCTCAACACAAAAATGGAGGACGTACGACCTAAATGTCAATTTTCTGTCGTCTAGCAGTGCTGTCTCCATTTTTGTTAAAGACCGCGTTTGACAAGAAAATCTATCAGTCTTTTCAATAAATGTTACTGGGATCATGGGCGTTAAGAATCATGACAAGACCTGATGAAATGATACTGAGGGCAACATATGCAAATATTTAATGTGAGGAAGTAAAACAATTTATTTAAATTGTCGGTACAGTTTCAATTGCAAACAGAAAACGGCTTATAGCTTCGATTTTATTGCTAATTCGTTTGCATTTTTATGCACACTAGGCTACAATAAGCATTAACCACAAACAGTTTCCCTTTAACTGTGAGCTCAATGTTGGTACTTTGTAGAAATTATTGATTAGCATCCACATTGTCTGGTGGGGGAGTGCACAACACACCCCATTAAAACATTTTTTTTTACATTTTAGTCATTCAGCAGACGCTCTTATCCAGAGCGATTTACAGTTAGTGAGTGCATACATTTTCATACTGGCCCACCGTGGGAAACGAACCCACAATCCTGGCGTTGCAAGTGCCATGCTCTACCAACTGAGCTACAGGGGACCTGTAAAAACGGTTTCAGCAGTGGGTCAGAGACTCCCAGTCACATACTTAGCCCACAGTGACAGTATCAATGTGTCCAGATTTAATCTAAGAAACAGTTGTCACAAACCTACTGAATGTGACAGCCTATGTTGACAAGACTAGGGGCATGCTGAAGCACATATTGAGTAGAATAAGTATTGCAGAGCTAGAAGAGTAACCATACACTACTGTCATGAGTAATTTCACCTGTTCTCTTCATTAAAAGTCTGTCTTTCTGCAACATTTTCAAACCATGTTCTATTTGTGGGGACACAGGAGACAGAGTTTGAGACGCAGTATCTTGGGCACTCCTCATCTCATGGGTCACACTGTCAACAACCAGCTCTTTAAGATAGTCTAACCACTGAGTTTTCGATGATCCAACTTGGAGCGGAACACATTTCTCAGAAAGCTTTTTCCATTCCAACCACTCCCATTACTCAACTTGACCTTAACATTGCAGATACAGACACTCTTACCAATTGTGCCTCTGCCACTCATGCCTGAATGTTTAGTAAAGCTGAAAGTGAAAGAAAAACAGTGACTGTCATGATGCAGTTTTGAAATTTCAGATATGAGGAACTTTAACCCCCTATGTAGTGTCTTTTAAAATGATCCACCACACTGAAATGCAACAATGAGGGCCTACAAACAAGCTCAACACTTTAGGGAATAACAGATTAGGTTTCCTAATTTCTGATGAATTAATTCCTTTACAATCTGCATTATTATTACAAAATGTATTATGCTCAATGTAAATCTCAAACAGGTTTTGTCAATGCAGTGTAGAGTGCTGGTGGCTTTCTGATAGGCTTCCCTTCACATGCCACAAGTCTTGTCTAGTGGCAGTTCGGTGGGCAACGCACCCAGCTGAATCCCGGCCTAAATCCTGTGTGTCCAAAATGTGGCAGAAGCAGTAGTCTCTCAGGGCTCAGTTTAACATTAGCTACTCATCAGTGTCCTGAGTCACAAGACCTCTTGTTAAATTATGAGAAAGTAATGGGAGCAGCTTGGTTTAAATGAATTAACTCCATCCTGATTATCTTCAGTAAACCTGTTGTGTTAATCCCACACCTGCCCCTCATCTAAAACACACACAGTTACAAGTCAAGTGTCATTGAATCTGTAAAGAATTATCTTGGTAAACTACTGTTTCCGAGAGATTAAAACAAACAATAACCCAAATATAAGGGATTATTTGAGGAATACCCCTTCAGTTTCTCCTGAATCATCTTGAACATAAAAACAAAACTCCAACACCCTGAATGCTACTTGATTTAAACCACTTGAACCAGGGCTGAAGTCACAGAGGAATAACTACTGAGTTGACCAGACAGTGTTGTTTAATCCATTTTGTTAAACCGAAGACACTCATGATTGAGCTCATTCCATGACACCTTCCTTGCTATCCCACAGAATTGAATACAAAAATACAAACAGCTTTGAATTCATGCTCCTCTCACATCCCAACTTTGTTTAACAACCACTTGATGGTACTATTGCAGAATTCCTAGAAGAACAGTGCATATCACAGTGTTCTGATAGCTACACAATTGTGAAAGCACTGCTTGGACCACTAGAATGCAGATAGTGTTTACTGTAAACTGTAAGAGTGACACTATGGAATGTTGAGTCTCTCAGCAATACACTGTAACATGCTGAAAGTATACAGTATAGATTGTGATACAGTATAATACCTAAATTAAATGTGTTCTTGGTGCTTTTCAGAGGTGTCCTGAGCTCTGTTGTCTTCATAAAGGCATCAAGTGTGTGAATGTATATATTTTTCTTATATGTTTCTATGAGTTCTGTAGTGTGTGAGATGAGTTTCCCTTCAAATGGGATGGACAGCAAAAGCTGTAACTTACACAGAACAAATGTGGTCAATAGATGTCGAAATTGTCCACACTGACTAGAAAGCCAGTTCAAAAGTCATCAGCAAAATACATCCAGCAACTTAAGAGTGACACCAGTAACTCTACATCCATTTCTGGCCCACAGTGTGCCTAGAGTGCTTGGTTGAGGGGAAACCAATGGCAGGAAGAGGCATAACTCAGCTTTACATTCACTAAACACGCACATCCCAAAGAGATTTCACTTAAGATACAGTACTGTTATATAAAACCAGTTACCATTTCAATACAAAGTATGCTCCAGCTTCTGGCATTACTCATTCAAAGCTGTCTATTTAAAAACAGTATATTTTAAGTTTAGTTTGTGAGTAAAGATGACATTTTGATTATTTTATAGGCTACAAGCCCCTTAGCTAAAGGAGTAAGTAAAATCACATATGTTCTCTTACAAGTCTCCTCGTGTAGCTCTAGTTGTCATAGATAGAGCTGGGACGATAAACCGGAAAAATTATTGCTACCAACCGAACCCACCTCCGAGGACATTTTACTGAAATCGATAATTACGATAATTAGCCTACACTAGAGAAATGTGAAGTTTGAAACGAAATAAGGCTGCTAATATGGGCGATTGCTAACGGAACAATTGATAGGTACAACATTCAAAGTAGTAGTAGTTAAGGATAATGTAAAAAGTAACTGATGCACATTAATGTTATACATTTATCGTTCAATGTATCGTTATCGTGACAATTGTCACAATTTATGGATTTTTGTCCATATCTCCCAGGTCTAGTCATAGGCCACGAGTCCCTTAGCTACTATAAAGTAACAACGAAAATGGCATTTGTCTATTTGTGTATCTCTAGTTGTCATTCAGTGACTCTTAAAAAAAATAAAAAATGCAGTGTTAGACATGGGTCTAGATTTTCCTTACAAATTACAGCCTATTCTACAATGAACGACAGTACTACTGCATTCTTGCTTTTCTCCCCTTAAAATGTCTGTTAAATTCTCTAAAACCCACCAAGCAGCAGCAAGAACGTAATAAACAAAAAGCAAATGGGGAGTGTCAGTAAAACTTATTTACAAATCATACCCATTGTTAAATTGCAATGAAATAAGGCCATGTTTAAAAAGCCATCCCTCTTCAAGCAAGTGCCCACACATAGAATAATACCCTGATGGAGCCTAAGAAAGCCACCAAAATATGCAGATAAATACTCCAAATGTCCCCTTTGGACATCCCTTCTTCAACCTCCATTTTCATGTTCCATTGCTGTGCCCATAGCCAACGTGTGGGTGTGGAGACAGAGCACCTAAAGGAGCTCCATCTAGGAGGATGGGACCCTGAGTCTAAACAGGCCCTGCTTCAGCTGCAGACGGAACAGTTTGCAGTTAGCGATGCGCAGGGCTGCACAGCCAGTCTTGCACAGATCAGATGTCAGCATGGGCTTGGTGCGGTGCCACGTCCCCGAGCTGCGACGGAATTCCCTCACATAGTCATAGGTTGTACCTGTGCAGACACACACAGACCTTTAGCGATCGATGTATACATTACACAGTGCACACATACAGTAAGTTGTATTTGCCAATGCTTGCCAAGTTGTGGTAATTTACTTCAGGAGTCTGCCTTTAACTCACCAGTGTCTAAGTCCCCCACCACATAGATGCTGGCACCAATGGGGACAGCTCCATACACAAAAGAGGAACTGGTCTGAACACAGAGATTCTGGTCATCCAGGTACATCCATCTGGACAGAGCGTGGTTGGGAAAATAAACACCACTTGAAAGATTTTTGATAAACTACAAATACAGTAAACATATATAAAGGTCTCTATGTCTTTAGGTAACAAGGATACACCCAGTCCAACACCAAATTCAAACAAGGAAGTATTTGATCAAAGTAACAAGCGCTATTATTGACCTTTTCATCTCATCATGGAAAAACTCAGACTTGCAGGTGGTCATGGTGCTGGATTCTGGGTTGTCTGAGTCACGGCTCCTCACGCCTCCAAACACATAGAGTTCCTGACCCACACCACATGCTACTGAGCCAAACCTGCAGGCAGAGACATCCACACCGTAACATCAGGTCAGGGGTCACTCATCGAGAACATAACATCAATAACACCAACACTAAACAAATCCATCACAGGGACTTTGTCACAAATCTTCTGTGGTCTTTGAAGGGATGAAAAGTCAAAATTGTATGAAAAATACCAGTTCATCTGGGGATGCAGCTATGCTGCTGACCTTATTCTCTTCTGCTTGTGTGGAAACACAATACAGACAGAATGCAGTTACGTAATGTAATATAATATATAGTCAGTATAATAAGTGCATGCAATTGTTCAGTTATTAATATGTATAAATGTGTTACTTGAGAGGTAAAGCCAAAAGCTATTTTCCATCTAAATGTGGACAATAACATTCTATTCTGACCTGTATTGTATTAAAACCTGACAGGTAATTAATTGTATGTATATATATATATATATATATATATATATATATATATATATATATATATATATATATATATATATATATATATATATATATATATATATATATACATACACATACATACACACACACATACAGTGAGGGAAAAAAGTATTTGATCCCCTGCTGATTTTGTACGTTTGCCCACTGACAAAGACATGATCAGTCTATAATTTTAATAGTAGGTTTATTTGAACAGTGAGAGACAGAATAACAACAACAAAATCAAGAAAAACGCATGTCAAAAATTTTATGAATTTATTTGCATTTTAATGAGGGAAATAAGTATTTGACCCCTCTGCAAAACATGACTTAGTACTTGGTTGCAAAACCCTTGTTGGCAATCACAGAGGTCAGACGTTTCTTGTAGTTGGCCACCAGGTTTGCACACATCTCAGGAGGGATTTTGTCCCACTCCTCTTTGCAGATCTTCTCCAAGTCATTAAGGTTTCGAGCCTGACGTTTGGCAACTCGAACCTTCAGCTCCCTCCACAGATTTTCTATGGGATTAAGGTCTGGAGACTGGCTAGGCCACTCCAGGACCTTAATGTGCTTCTTCTTGAGACACTCCTTTGTTGCCTTGGCCGTGTGTTCTGGGTCATTGTCATGCTGGAATACCCATCCACGACCCATTTTCAATGCCCTGGCTGAGGGAAGGAGGTTCTCACCCAAGATTTGACGGTACACATGGCCCCGTCCATCGTCCCTTTGATGCGGTGAAGTTGTCCTGTCCCCTTAGCAGAAAAACACCCCCAAAGCATAATGTTTCCATCTCCATGTTTGACGGTGGGGATGGTGTTCTTGGGGTCATAGGCAGCATTCCTCCTCCTCCAAACACGGCGAGTTGAGTTGATGCCAAAGAGCTCCATTTTGGTCTCATCTGACCACAACACTTTCACCCAGTTCTCCTCTGAATCATTCAGATGTTCATTGGCAAACTTCAGACGGGCCTGTATATGTGCTTTCTTGAGCAGGGGGACCTTACGGGCGCTGCAGGATTTCCGTCCTTCACGGCGTAGTGTGTTACCAATTGTTTTCTTGGTGACTATGGTCCCAGCTGCCTTGAGATCATTGACAAGATCCTCCCGTGTAGTTCTGGGCTGATTCCTCTCCGTTCTCATGATCATTGCAACTCCACGAGGTGAGATCTTGCATGGAGCCCTAGGCCGAGGGAGATTGACAGTCTTTTGTGTTTCTTTCATTTGCGAATAATCGCACCAACTGTTGTCACCTTCTCACTAAGCTGCTTGGCGATGGTCTTGTAGCCCATTCCAGCCTTGTGTAGGTCTACAATCTTGTCCCTGACATCCTTGGAGAGCTCTTTGGTCTTGGCCATGGTGGAGAGTTTGGAATCTGATTGATTGATTGCTTCTGTGGACAGGTCTCTTTTATACAGGTAACAAACTGAGATTAGGAGCATTCCCTTTAAGAGTGTGCTCCTAATCTCAGCTCGTTACCTGTATAAAAGACACCTGGGAGCCAGAAATCTTTCTGATTGAGAGGGGGTCAAATAGTTATTTCCCTCATTAAAATGCAAATCAATTTATAACATTTTTGACATGCGTTTTTCTGGATTTTCTTGTTGTTATTCTGTCTCTCACTGTTCAAATAAACCTACCATTAACATTATAGACTGATCATTTCTTTGTCAGTGGGCAAACGTACAAAATCAGCAGGGGATCAAATACTTTTTTCCCTCACTGTATACAGTGGGGAGAACAAGTATTTGATACACTGCCAATTTTGCAGGTTTTCCTACTTACAAAGCATGTAGAGGTCTGTAATTTTTATCATAGGTACACTTCAACTGTGAGAGACAGAATCTAAAAAACAAAAATCCAGAAAATCACATTGTATGATTTTTAAGTAATTAATTTGCATTTTATTGCATGACATAAGTATTTGATCACCTACCAACTAGTAAGAATTCCAGCTCTCACAGACCTGTTAAGTTTTTCTTTAAGAAGCCCTCCTGTTCTCCACTCATTACCTGTATTAACTGCACCTGTTTGAAGTCGTTACCTGTATAAAAGACACCTGTCCACACACTCAATCAAACAGACTCCAACCTCTCCACAATGGCCAAGACCAGAGAGCTGTGTAAGGACATCAGGGTTAAAATTGTAGACCTGCACAAGGCTGGGATGGGCTGGGCTACAGGACAATAGGCAATCAGCTCGGTGAGAAGGAAACAACTGTCGGCGCAATTATTAGAAAATGGAAGAAGTTCAAGATGACGATCAATCACTCTCGGTCTGGTGCTCCATGCAAGATCTCACCTCGTGGGGCATCAATGATCATGAGGAAGGTGAGGGATCAGCCCAGAACTACACGGCAGGACCTGGTCAATGACCTGAAGAGAGCTGGGACCACAGTCTCAAAGAAAACCATTAGTAACACACTACGCCGTCATGGATTAAAATCCTGCAGCGCACGCAAGGTCCCCCTGCTCAAACCAGCGCATGTCCCGTCTGAAGTTTGCCAATGACCATCTGGATGATCCAGAGGAGGAATGGGAGAAAGTAATGTGGTCTGATGAGACAAAAATATAGCTTTTTGGTCTAAACTCCACTCGCCGTGTTTGGAGGAAGAAGAAGGATGAGTACAACCCCAAGAACACCATCCCAACCGTGAAGAATGGAGGTGGAAAAATCATTCTTTGGGGATGCTTTTCTGCAAAGGGGACAGGACGACTGCACCGTATTGAGGGGAGGATGGAAGGGGCCATGTATCGCGAGATCTTGGCCAACAACCTCCTTCCCTCAGTAAGAGCATTGAAGATGGGTCGTGGCTGGTCTTCCAGCATGACAACGACCCGAAACACACAGCCAGGGCAACTAAGGAGTGGCTCCGTAAGAAGCATCTCAAGGTCCTGGAGTGGCCTAGCCAGTCTCCAGACCTGAACCCAATAGAACATCTTTGGAGGGAGCTGAAAGTCCGTATTGCCCAGCGACAGCCCCGAAACCTGAAGGATCTGGAGAAGGTCTGTATGGAGGAGTGGGACAAAATCCCTGCTGCAGTGTGTGCAAACCTGGTCAAGACCTACAGGAAACGTATGATCTCTGTAATTGCAAACAAAGTTTTCTGTACCAAATATTAAGTTCTGCTTTTCTGATGTATTAAATACTTATGTCATGCAATAAAATGCAAATTAATTACTTAAAAATCATACAATGTGATTTTCTGGATTTTTGTTTTAGATTCCATCTCTCACAGTTGAAGTGTACCTATGATAAAAATTACAGACCTCTACATGCTTCGTAAGTAGGAAAACCTGCAAAATCGGCAGTGTTTCAAATACTTGTTCTCCCCACTGTATATACACATACATACAGTACCAGTCAAAAGTTTGGACACACCTACTCATTTCTTTATTTTTACTATTTTAAACATTGTAGAATAATAGTGAAGACATAAACTATGAAATAACACATATGGAATCATGTAGTAACCAAAAAAGTGTTATATCAAAATATATTTTATATTTGAGATTCTTTAAATAGCCACCCTTTGTTTTGATGACAGCTTTGCACACTCTTGGCATTCTCTCAACCAGCTTCACCTGGAATGCTTTTCCAACAGTCTTGAAGGAGTTCCCACATATGCTGAGCACTTGTTGGCTGCTTTTCCTTCACTTTGCGGTCAGACTCATCCCAAACCATCTCAATTTGGTTGAGGTCCGGGGATTGTGGAGGCCAGGTCATCTGATGCAGCACTCCACCACTCTCCTTCTTGGTAAAATAGCCCTTACACAACCTGGAGGTGTGTTGCGTCATTGTCCTGTTGAAAAACAAATGATAGTCCCACTAAGCCCAAACCAGATGGGATGGCGTATCACTGCAGAATGCTGTGGTAGCCATGCTGGTTAAATAAATCAGACAGTGTCACCAGCAAAGCACCCCCACACCATAACACCTCCTCCTCCATGCTTTATGGTGGGAAATACACATGCAAAGATCATCCGTTCACCCACACCGCGTCTCACAAAGACAGTGGTTTGAACCAAAAATATCAAATTTGGACTCATCAGACCAAAGGACACATTTTCACCGGTCTAATGTCCATTGCTCGTGTTTCTTGGCCCAAGCAAGTCTCTTCTTCTTATTGGTGTCATTTAGTAGTGGTTTCTTTGCAGCAATTCGACCATGAAGGCCTGATTCACACAGTCTCCTCTGAACAGTTGCTGTTGAGATGTGTCTGTTACTTTAACTCTCTGAAGCATTTATTTGGGCTGCAATTTCTAAGGCTTGTAACACTAATGAACTCATCCTCTGCAGCAGAGGTAACTCTGGGTCTTCCATTCCTGTGGCGGTCCTCATGAGAGCCAATTTCATCATAGCGCTTGATGGTTTTTGCGACTGCACTTGAAGAAACTTTCAAAGTTCTTGAATTGTTCCGTATTGACTGACCTTCATGTCTTAAAGTAATGATGGACTGTTGTTTCTCTTTGCTTATTTGAGCTGTTCTTGCCATAATATAGACTTGGTCTTTTACCAAATAGGGCTATCTTCTGTATACCCCCCCCCCCCCCCCCTACCTTGTCACAACACAACTGATTGGCTCAAACGCATTAAGGAAAGAAATTCCACAAATTAACTTTTAAGAAGGCACACCTGTTAATTGAAATGCATTTCAGGTGACTACCTCATGAAGCTGGTTGAGAGAATGCCAAGAGTGTGCAAAGCTGTCATCAAGGCAAAGGGTGGCTATTTGAAGAATCTCAAATATAAAATATATATTTTGATTTGTTTAACACTTTTTTGGTTACTACATGATTCCATATATGTTATTTCATAGTTTTGATGTCTTCATTATTATTCTACAATGTAGAAAATAGTAAAAAATAAAGAAAAACCCTTGAATGAGTAGGTGTTCTAAAACTTTTGACCGGTAGTGTATATTTTTTTTTATTGTATTTTTTTATTCTAACTACTGAGTTGATTCTGTACCTTCTCTCTTTCAAAGGGCAGATTGCAGTCCACTGCTGGGTCTTTGGGTCATAGCATTCTACTGAGTCGTACAGCTTTCCATATGACCCACCACCCATGGCATATATCTTCTTTTTCATGGTAGCATAGCAGCCAATCTGAGGAGAGGAGAGATCGTTGGGCAAGTGGTGGGAGATTTGGAGAGGTTGCGATTTGTGAATGTGTTTATTATACATTTCAGTAGGCAGTAGCAAGCCGGAAGTGCTCATGTCTCACCTTGCGGACCATGGTCATGCTGGTTTGTGTGGTCCAGGTGTTAAAGTGAGGGTCGAACACCTCCACAGTCAGGAGCTCTATGTCCTCATCCTCTCCTCCCAACACATAGATCATCCCATCTAGCTCTGCAACACCAAAGTTCTGCCGCGCCTGACCAAACAAAGAGCAGAAGCCTTTAATAATACTGGGCAATACTGACCCCTGGTGGCATTCCTCAAAACTATAACACTTTAGAAGAATAGATAACAACATAACAAAACATGGCTACCAGTGAGTAGCCTATACAAGTAAAAACAAAACATGGAACATTTGATAGATTAAATGAAAAAGTGTCATGTATGTACCATACCACAATAATCACTTGGTTCAGTGGGAGACATTTATTTGGTCTATATAACCAATTGAAGTAAGAACTTCAAAATGACACCACGTGAAATGTCTATGAAACAAGTGGGTTGAATGTTGCTACTGACAGGTTGGAAGGATATATTGTGTGGAGTATTATACAACAGGTGGGTCTAATCCTGAATACTGATTGGTTAAAAATGCATTCCAGCCGGTGTCAATTCCACAAGTTATCACCGGCTAAATCTATGGCGTTAAAATGCCAATTTACTATGTTTCATCTGACTGCGCAATCCACTGTCTCATCAGCCCAGCCAGGCAATTTATAACCTTGATCGCAACTATAAAAAGCATCTAGACATTATCTCACATTTCCTTTAGACTAACATTCCGTTTTCAACAGCGGAAATGTGTATAAACTTTGCTGTCTGTATCTCTGACATTTGCAACATTTTTTCAATATTCAAATTCGATCTCCAGCTGTCCCATAGTAATGAAAGTGACGAGACAGACAGGCAGCGTTTCTCAGCCAGTCGAAATCATGAATCAGCTGGCATCATTTTTATGGATATATACAAAAAAAGGTCAATTGAAAAAAGGTAAAACTAAACAAAGTGCAGCTAGTTTGCAGTCTTTCTAGCTTCATTTTGAAGTGATTGTGTTAGCTGTGTTGTTGGATAGCTCCTCTGAACAACAGTGTCCTGACGAGAGAGCACATTTTCTATGCCATGCGAAATCGCACCTCATTAGCTCATTGTTATGGATGTATCCAAATAAATGTCACTAGAAAACAGCTTAAACAAATGCAAATGAAGCTACTGTTGTTATTCTGGCTACAATGTTTGACGTGACTGTAAGTTAGCCGTAGTTTGTTAGCTAGCAAGCAAGGGATAAGAACATTGCCAGCCAGGATGGCAATGGAACATTTAGAACGAACGACTGGGTCACGTCCATAGATACATAACAAGAAGACTTAATGACTGGGTCGCGTCTCTGGCAACCGAACCGATAGAAAGAACGACCAGCCAGTTTGGGTAGCAACCTTATATTTGTGTCGGAACTATATCTTGTGGAAGGATGAAATAGTATGAATAAATCCATCAAAATAAAATATTTAATGAAAATATGTCAATCATTATATGAATATGTTGGAAACCCGTTGTATAAAAGTGATAATGCCCTCGAAGCCGGTGTTTGGAGGATATATTGGCACCTGTGGGCATTATCACTTAAATAGAATACCTGTTTCATGGAAGGAATGGGGGTCCAGGTGTTTGTGTCTGGGTCATATTTCTCCCCACTGCTCAGGACCATCTTGGTTTTATCCATTCCACCCATCACAAAGAGATAGCCCTCTGAGAGGATAAAGAATGGTGTTAATTCATGGTTGATCACTTAGACTGGGTTGGGTTTGACTTACATGAGAATTGTTGGATCCATCAACTAATTATTAGCTGCCATGAAGGCTGCACTGTGTATACGTATGTAACAATAAAACTAGGTATGGATTCACTACCAACCTGCAGCCAGCACTCCATGCCCTATTCGGCCAATGCTCATTGGTTCCAGCTCGATCCACAGCTGACGGTTTGGTTCATAGAGTGGACACATGCAGCGTGCCATGGCTGACGGCTTCCTCGTTCTGAACAGGAACCAGGGAACAGGAAGTCAGTTCTATCCTGTTGGTTTTATCTCTGACACACTGGCTCCCTCTAACCTCATCCTCGCACTGTGTGACCATAAAATACCAACTTTACTGACTTGTTTTACGTCTCCTCAATCTCTCTGTGTTCTCTCAGTATATCAACCACACTCTATTCTCAGTTTGAACCCTTCCTGCCCTTAATACATTAAATCTTGCTTGTCATAACTTTCAGTCATCTGAATGTTTTGCAAGAATTTCCATTGCAAACTGTTTGTCTATCAAGCATATGTGCACAAAACCACAGCAATCTGCAAAATGAGAATCAAAGTGTTACGGCCACATTGTATGATTCATATACACATTCAACAGCATGTAGACATCTTATGTCTGGACATCCTCCCAGAGTAAGAGACAGCAGATACTCACCCTCTCTCCTCCCCCCCTACAGTGACAATGCACTCCGAGTAGCCACGAGGTTTGAAGGCGGCGAGAAGAGCCTCGCCCTGCAGTGCAGCACCCCCCAGTGGAGCGTTGCAGTACTCCCTGATCACCTCCCTCATCAAGGGCTCTCCCAACACCTGCTCCCTCAGGTAACCTTGGTCCAGCCCCTGGATCCACACTGATGACATCACCTCTTTCATGTGCACCTGGGGGGGGGGGGGGGGGGGAATCAGGAATATGTTACTCAGGGGATGAGCTGAGAGGCCAATAGTAATGCATAGGCAAATAGTGTGCAAAAAACACAGTCCTTCAAATTATGTAGTAGTCTCTGACCATAATAGTTGTTGTAATTGTACTTTTGTAGCCATGCTTCAGGCATACATCGAATACTACAGAGGCTGTTTTCTGGCAGACAGAAACAAGGGCAGAACCACCACACCCCTAGTAGTAAAACAAGGCCCTCACCCTCCGTTCCTCCAGGTCATGACCGAGCCAGCGCACCACAGCCTCCAGAACATGCTTTTCATTGCCCACGTTGAGCTTCTCCATGGACAGGATCTCACACAGATGGTCTGGGGGTAACTCCCTGAACTCGTCCGTGGCAGCCACATCACGGAAATGTGTCTGGAGGAAGTCTGTGGCAACATGGTGAACATGGTGCAGACAGTAATGTAGAGAGAAGAGCCGGATCCCAATGCAGTTCTCTGCAGCAATGCAGCTCTCCAGGAACTGGCAGCACAGGGACTTCAAGTCTGTCAGGAGCAGCAAGTCAGCAGCCTGGACCATGTCCTGAATGGTGTCCTCACTCAGACTGATCTACACACAGATAACAAGGAGCAGGATGGAAGGAGGAGTGTAAGATCAGGGTTGTTCTAGTAGGTAACATAAGATTCCAAAACTGTAAGCTACACATAGGAATATGGATTCTCTCAGAAGAGTTAGGAAGTACAGGACAATATTGTTATAGGCAATTTAAAAACCAGTAAAATAATCCCACTTGTGTTCACTTTATTCTAGGCCCACTTACAGCTTTGCACACTACTCACCTCCCCACTAAAGATGTAGTCCAGGATCTGCTTCATGATAGTGACAGAGATTCCCTGGAGCTCAATGGTGTACATGGATCCATCTTCCTTTGGAGGGTTGTAGTTCAGTTTTGTTCTATGGAATGTCAGAATACGGTTGAGTGTATTGTTAGGTATTACTGCACTGTTGGAGCTAGGAACATAAGCATTACGCTACACCCGCGGTAACGTCTGCAAAATGTGTACGCGACCAATAACATTTGATCAGCATGACAGGAAAAATCACTGACAGTCTACCAGCATCGAGTGGGACACTGCGGGAGACACCCTGTCGACAGCTGGAAACAATGTCACATCCCCAGCCTTATCAAAACGTTATAATAACCATGGCATCCATTGCAACAGTTCTGCTTGCGACAAAGGTAAAGCAAGACATAACTGATTACCTGATGTATGGACTAGCCGCAGCCAAAATGTTTTTCTGGACTGGAATCTTTTCCCCATCCAGAACTAACACTGCGTCTTGGAAGCATTGTTCTTGCCAAAAGGAGCGAAGGGCCTTGAGAAGTTTCTGAGAGTGTTGAGGGTCCGACACCACCGAACCTGCAACGCTAACCTCAGACTCAGTACTGGACATTGTGTACCTACAGAGGAAAAACACATGTCATTTGCACACCAGCCCGGCTGGAGAACAGGGAATAAATCTATTTAGAAAGCCAGTGTTACCTTCAAGCAGAATTAGCCTACGTAGGCTAGGCTAACGTCAGCATGCTAAGTTGGCTATAATACATTATTGGACTGGATTTTTACCTGAATATTAAGTGACATAGGTAGTTAATTACCTAACGCCGTTATATACTTGGCAGGGTCACAAACATTTCAATAAAACCAGACAGGCTCCTGTGACATTCATAACCATAATAGTAAGCTACTTTACCTAGCTCGCTATCTAACTAGACATAACCAAATAACAGGGTGCGTCCCAAATGGAATAACATAGTCATTGGTTTCGTCCAACTTCACTGTAGCCTACCTTGCATGGGCCACACTACACACAAGTCAGAAAGCGAGGTAAAATAGAAGCGTTTAGCACACTTTTCCCATTTAGCAAGCCAGGCTCCGTTAAAATACTTTTACAGTCCTTCCCCTGGAACAATCACAGATCTGAGAGAAATATGGATATGTGACAAGATTAATATGGAAAAATTGCTTTCCTACAGTTTAGTGTGTGCACGAGGAAGAAAGGGTGGATACATCTTCAAAGTACTCGAACACAGCCCCCATTGTGCTGTATGTTGGACTCGCCCATGTTACGCCCACAATCTTTACGCGCTTTTAAACGTCATTCTCCCGCGACTAAAGTTTTTTGTTTCGTTATCTCTTTACTGGTTTACTATGGAGGACCAAACCTGCCATAATTAGATAAATAAATAAATGCAAACATAAATCAATAAATCCACACAATTAAATAAATGAGCAAGGAAATACAAAAATACTGACTAAAATGAACAAATGTTCTCTACATATCTGTATGTATTTAATTATTTATCTATGTATTATCTAATTATTCAAACTTTAATTCATTTTTAGTCATTTCTATAGTTCTTCCTCCAATATGATAATGAGGGGGTGTCAATCAAACAGCTGTGTCAATCAAACATCTTTGGGTGGTATCTAACACACCAATGGTTGATCAATGTCACCGCACCTTGCGCAATTGCTTTTACACCCCCCTATGTGAAACTAGCCACAATAAGGATTAGCCACAATAGTAGAATTTGCGGTTTGCCTTCAAAATGCAGGTTTGCCCTCATTGAAACAGACACAAACAGATACAAATAGTGGAATCATGCCATATTTGGACTAGATAATGCTTAACAAGTTTGGAATGTTGTTATATAAATTCAACAAAAGACAATGAGTTAATTTGACCAACAACAACAAAAAATCTGTTGAAATCGCACTGTGGATGTATTAGACTTCAGAATTGCATTGTGGGCATACTGTATACATCGTACCTATGGATCTTGGGTCCATGAAATGTTCACAACTGTGAAGAGTTTACACAAATATTAGCGTCTTAGCTCTTATTGCAGGACTTTAACTGTGGGAAATCACCTCAGTATTCAGCCTATTGTGCATATTGAACATTCATATTGCAATGTACAGCTTTACCTATGGATCTTGGGTCCATGAAATGGGGTATCAGTCCAGAACACAACTGTGAAGTGTTTACACAAATATTAGCATCATAGCTCTTATTGCAGGACTTTGACACCACTGTGAAATTAGTCACATTAGCTCACCAGTCAACCTACTGTGTATTGAACATTCATATTGCAATGTACAGCTTTACCTATGGATCTTGGGTCCTGGAAATTGGGAATCAGCCTACTCAGTGACATCCAGAGAACACAACTCAGGGAGGTTTACAGACAGTACCTTGAGATGAGGAAGGGTTTTTTGGTTTTGCAGGGTTGTGCTTAGACAGTAAATGTATTGTGTATGAAAGCGATTGAGGTGCCATTTCTCCTTAATCTCCCACACACAATAATTCATACTGTGTAAGAACTGCATTCCTAAGACTTTTCACACCTTCTTTAGCCCAGTTGTAACTAACTTGGTTCAGCTTATCAACCAGCTAATTATTAGAATCAGGTGTGCTAGATTAGGGTTGGAGTGAAAACCTACAGGACGGGGTTGGAGAGCCCGGATTTAGAGCCACCATAAAATAAATATGGATAATTTCTATAAATCTTTTAAATGTGTCTGCCCTTATGGATTCACAGAATATATTTATATAAGCTGTACAGGGCTCTGTAGCATCAAACAGATGCTAGACATTCAGATCTCCAAAGAATGTTTGTTTATTTGTCAAATTCTAAAATACAGGGGTGTACACAGTTAACTTAACATTAACTCAAGAGAACTGGGTATTCAACAATAATGTTTTATGGTAAAAGTAACATACAAAAAAAATGTGTATGAACAGTGTAGTTCAGTGTGTCCGAGTGTGTCTCAGGTGAAGAGACACACAAGTGCAGAGAACTGTAGCTACACAGTGTTACACCAGATAATGTGATTTACCCAAAGATTTTTGCCGACATCTTGCCTATTTCAAGTCTTTTCTCATTGATCGAGACAGGTGGGTGTCCACCCCAAAGTGCTGCATGTCATGCTGACAGAGAGCTGTCTCGATCAATGAGTGAGAAGACTTGAAATAGACATGGCGGCGCACATATTGGTGAATTACTTTATGGAGCAAAAAAAGTATTTATTTTAATAACAGAGCATTTTCTAAATTCAAACTGACCCCCTGCAACTGGATGCGGACATTTTATGAGACTCATGCTTCCCCGAATCAAGGACGAAGACGGCATCGCTAAGGTTGGTCAAAAATTCTCTGTGTTACACAAACCAGTACCTATCCTGTAACTCCCAGTAATGTATACCGAAAATCAGTACATTTGTTAAATCACTTTATCTGGTGTAACAATCTGTAGCTAAGAGAACTGGCGATCAGCAGATGGGAGAGGTGGTCATGATGAAATTGCCATTCCAAAGAAACAGACAGTAAGTTCAGGGAATACTTGTAAAGCTGTGGGAGGAGTGTTGTCATGATCTAACTGCCATTCAGCACCTCATGAGTCATCTGCTTGAAATCCAGCATAATGTCTCATCCCTGAGAGGGATACAGTTCATGGGATACAGTTCTGCTACAATGACACACGCAGGCAAAGGAATTATGTTTCTGTATCTAGAATCCACTCCAGGAATAAGGCCAGGCACCATAGTTATTCTGTATGACAAAAAACGAAAACAATTATACTCTATTGTTCAGTTTGAACAACAGTTGAACCATGCCAGCATAACATCAACATTAGGGTAGACTAGTTGAACATGCATACATGTGCATAGGCACAGAGATTACATTTACAACAATATCTAGTCTAATAGAAAGCAATATGGCATAACCATCAACCTTTGCACAGTGACCAGACTGTACAAATGAGCATAGGTAGGAAGGCAGACCATATCTACCTACAGCCATGTCTATTAGGCATGCTTAGGCAAAACATTTTTACAGTAAAACCAGCTTCAGTTTTAGAGATTTAAATCGTTGCATTATTGTTTCTCCTCACTGTTTGCTAGTAAATTTAGCTAGCTTGCTGGAAATGCAATACTTGTTATTTACATCTCTTTGGAATCCTATCTTGCGTCACACCTATAATTTTGTGAGATTGAAATGCATCCACGGTCATAATCATAACCAATGTCAACCCTCGTAAATTGTTACATAGCTAGCTAGTAAAATGATTTCAAGTTGCTGATGTTACACATGTTTGCGAACAAGTTACAAATGCGAGGTGTGGCACATAACAAGTTAGCAGGGGCCAGGCTAACTAGCTAGCCAACTCCAGTCGCGCTAACGTTTTCTGGTAAACCTAGCTTTAGGTGGCTGGTTGTAACGTTGTAGCTTGCTGTTTAGTAGCTAGCCATATCTATGACTAAAAAGAGAAGAGGTTTTACAATCGAGATACAAAAGATCTCCGATTGTAAAACCTCTTCTATTTTTAGTCATAGATATGGCTACCGGTAGTTGTTTGCTAACTACAGTGCCTAGTTAGCAAACAGATCAATTATTTGATTTCCCCCTACTGTAACACAGTATTATGTTAGCCAGCAATACACAATATGGGTTTCAGTAGATAAACTAAATTAGCTAGGTGGCTTGCAGGAAAAATAACTTTCTTAGCTAGGCACTACAGGAGATTGGTGGTACCTTAATTGGGGAGGAAGGGCTCATGGTAATGGCTGGAGCGGAATCGGTGGAATGGTATCAAACACATGGTTTCCATGTGTTTGATGCCATTCAATTTGCGCCGTTCCAGCCATTATTATGAGCCGTCATCCCCTCAGCATCCTCCACTGCTAGGCACGGTAATGTAATCTGCCCTCTTGGTGCTGGCATCGGCTGTAGCTCAGTTTCTAACGTTATGTTAGCTAAATCCAACTCTTTGTTTTGGATCCTCTTCGTCTATATCATAGATTTATTGCTTTCAAAGAAAACCAATTCATTTTTTCTTCTTCTTTTTCTTCCCCCCATCAACACACTGGAAGCCGTCATAGGGTGTATCATTCAGCACGCGAAGCCCTGACCTGCCTTTCTCCTTGGCAATTATGTGTGAAACACATCTCACTGTCCTAGAAATGCCTCAGACATGATGAAAACAAGGCCAAATCCCCCCTGGGTGAAATTCCTCTTCAAGGTGCCACCAACCTCCTGTGCAGGGAGTACAGCAACAGTCTGTCAACATGTATTGTAAGTAACCACTCAAATTCATACAAACTGCTACGGACGCAGTCACTGACATATATTAACTTTGTCTACTTGCCCCATTCTTCAACCTTGTCTGGGATATATATTTTAGTTGACACACCTGTGTGATGTATCTGATATACATGAATTAAAATGTATTCACCCTGGACACGAGACTTGCATTTACTTTAGACCTTTTGAATCATAAGCTCTATGTGTTGTCTGTGTTTAAGTTACAACAGAAGTTAGTAAAAGTTAGTGTGAAGACCAACATGCTATGAAAATTAGTTTATACTTTATTGCATTTGGTCATCCCCAAAATGTGGCCTTTGAAAGCCTTAATAGTT